AGTAACTCCTAAATAATTAACCCCTGACCAAATGAGTAACCCCAAAATAAGTAACATGTACAAGTAACGCCTAACCAAACGAGTGACCCCTACAAGTAACCCCTGAGCAAACGAGTAACCTCCTATAAATAACCCCTGTCACACGGTGTGACCAGCCACATATAAAAATTTGTGTAAAATCTTTTGATTATCTACCATCTAAACCATAGTTGACCTAAACCCTAAATTATGTTGTTTCGAATTCGAATAATAAGCAAAATAATACAAATCTAATATATATATATATATATATATATATATATATATATATATATATATATATATATATATATATATATATATAAAGTAGCCATTTTTCAAGAGCATTCGCCGCGCCACATAAGCAAAGGTATTATTTTGACCAATTAAAATTTTGGTTTGTATTTTATTTTAGAATTAAAAAATTCACTCGCCACCTAAGCAAAAAGTGACAGATGATATTTAAGTATTTTTTCACGTAACTAAAAATAACGTATAGTGATTTATTAGGATTTAAATTATTTCAAAAACTAAAAATTATCTTTTTTTTATTTTAAAAGCTAAAAAATTATCTTTAGATATTAAAATTTAAATTATTTTTAAAAAAATATACAAAATAATTTATAAAAAAAACCTATATATAAATGAGTTTTTTTTTCCAAGTTTTTAGAACACCATGTAGATTTCCATATCACTATTGATTTTTATTTTTTTGAAAAAGAACATTAAATTGAACATTTTTAAATTTTAATTAAATGTATTTTTCATAATTTGTCACTATTGATTTTTATTTTTGAAAAAGAACATTAAATTGAACATTTTAAATTTTAATTGAATGTGTTTTTCATAATTTTTAATTTAATTACATAGGAAAAAGGGTTAACTTTATATATTAAAACTAGGTTATCTCCGTGCGATGCACGGTTAGAATTATCTTTCTTGTAAGTTGTAATTTATAAATTTTTTGCATTACGTTGTATATGAAGATTAGAATTAGTTATAAAAATAATTTACATTTAAGTAAAGTAAAAAAAAAAAAATTGACACCATGATCAAAAATCAAACAAATTAGGTATGTGAAAGTATAATTTACTGTTAGAATTATCTTTCTTGTAAGTTGTAATTTATAATTTGTAGCATTACGTTGTATATGAAGATTAGAATCTATTAACCTATACTAAAAGCAAATCCTTCCATGACATTTGTCATTATGCTTCTCTCTCTCTCTCTCTCTCTCTCTTTTTTTCTTTTCGCAAAATCTTTAAGTAAACTATATATATATACCTTATGATAATTTCTTTCCAGTTTGACAATCATTTTGTGTATATATACAAATAAAATATTTCTGAATATCTTTTATACACTTTATATTTTGTAATATTATTGTCAAAAATATTTAACAACCGTGCATTGCAAGGGATTTTAACCTAGTTAGATATAAAAATAATTTACACTTAAGTAAAGCAAAAAAAAAATTGAAACCATGATAAAAAATCAAACAAATTAGGTATGTGAAAGTATAATTTAGTAGAGAAACTTAGTTAATTGAATTTTATATAGACACTTATGCATTGAAGTCAAAAGTGTAGATTAAAAATAAAAATAAAAAAATCATTAATAATTGATGACATCACACATAGAATTGGAGGGAAAATTTTTAATGTGAGAGTGACACGCAAGATAGTTTAAGAGTCGATGATGTTAGCAATGTTTTGTTTTAGTATTAGTTAATAGATTACCTTCAATTTAAATTAATAAAAATGTTCAATTGAATTAGATAAAAATAAATAATAAAATTATTTTGCTTTCAACTAAAACCATGTTCATTTAGAAAAACTCAATTTTGGATTAAATAAAACAAAATACAAAAATATAAAACTAACAAATACCCTTTCTTTTTATATTTCAAAAAAAAAAAAATCGTCTCATCCTTTATCATTTATCCCATTAAAAGATTAAATATTACATTAACAAAGTTATCATATTAAAGTATAATCAAGTCTAATGATAAAATTTTATCTTCACTTTAAATTCAACATTTTTTTACTATCCCATATAAACCCATCTAATGTCTCACACAAATAAACGTATAAAAAAAATTATATTTTATTTTTGAATTAAAAAATAAAGCCACTTAAGAATCAATGAATGATATTTGGTGAGTCAGCTAATAAAATAAAATTCACATTTTATTTTAGAATCAAGAAAATTATCTTTTTACATGAAAAACTTTATCCGGCACATTTGGTGAACTGTCATAAATTGTGAGATTTTTAGTATAAAAACTAAAAATTATCACATTTGGTTGCATTTTAAACTATATAAAAATAATAATTGTCCTTTTCTAAACCGCAATAGCAAGTTAATCAAATATTAAGGATGTAATTAAGAAAATAATCCTTTATGAGATTTAAGTATAAAAAACAGTAAAAAAAATCAATCGTCATGTAAGCAAAATTAACGAAAGAAATTTGAAAATTTAATTTAAAATGTAAAAAATAACAAATAGTAATTTAGGATTTAAATTATTTATTTATAATTTATTCATTAATTATAAATTATCCAATCATGAAATTTATGCATGAAAAAACCTTAACAAAATAAGATATTGCAAATTAAAAGTAGATTGCATTGAAATGGTAAGATACTCCGTAATACATTATTCTTGTTAAAAGTAAAGAACTCTTATCGGTTAAAAAATAATTACAAGTACTCCGTAATCTTAAAACAAACAAAATTAATACAAACAACTTGTATTTCTTGGCAAAAATATTCATCAATCACATCGTACTTGAATTTTGAAAAACAAAACAAACGATCTTAACGACTTAACGTACACCCCCCTACTACACACCACGATGAAACTTCTTGAGAGTTGACATGAGCTCCCATACACGATCAATCTCCTCCTCGGCTTCGGCCTCGGCCTCGGCCTCGGCCTCGTTGTCCTCATCCACCGGACAACCTCCCTTTGCATCGGAGATTCTAAGATTAACATCCAACTCAAGAGACCTACCACAAGAAACTTTGTACGAAATTCGAGCAAACTTGAGAATAGTATCAATACCATACCAATAACAATAAGGATCAACATCCATCAACTCCAACCACTCGTGTATCTTCTCCAACGGTTTCTTCCCTCCATACACCGGAAACATAACACCACAATCTTCCTCAAAAACCGAAAACATCTCCGACTTAACACCTTCTCTACTATCTTGACAATATATATTCACAACAATTTTCTGGCATTCTTCAATATTGTCCGAGTATGAAACTCTCATAGGACACTTCATTAGTACGGCCTGCTCCTTCCTATGGCATTCGTCGTAAGGCCCTGAAAAATCAGAATATTCTAGAAAGACGGACAAATGCAGTGACCAACCCATAGGTACTTGATAAGAAGAGCATCTAAGGATGTAATCGACGGCATCAGGACAAAAGTCAGGAAGCAGTTCCATTTGTTTAAGCCAACCTTGTATGATATCTTCGGGATTTTTAGTATTGTTGAATTCGTGAGCACTAGTCTTGAACGTTTGCACTGTGTAGATTTCACACGGGGGTATCCCTGCTCGTTTGTCTTTGACGTGAATGATCATGGTTATGGTTTCTTCGGCGTATGGATCGTTGTTTTTGATTAGGTTATGGCTTCCTAGACTGAATTCCATACACACCGGCTCGTACTTCACCATCATTTTTTCAGAAACGAATTCGACGAGGTTGAGGTTGAGGTTGAGGTTAAGATCGAGGTTGAAGATTTGAGGCTTGAGGTTTATTTGAGGTTACAATAATTATAATGGTGAGAGATGTACAGTATTTATAATGAGAAGCAGTGCTTGACGAACAAGGAACTTCATTCATTTATCTTCTAACACGGTTGTTTAAATTAGGAAACAATGTAAATTATTAACATATTTTATTTCTTGGTAGAAAAGTAAATTATTAACAAAAGAAGTAGATTTTGAAGAGAATTAAAAAAGGAAACTAAGTAAAATATCAACAAACAATAGATAGATAAAGGCACGCGCAATGTGAATTTACTTGGGGATGAATTAATCTTGTTGATATTTAACATTCCTAGAAAGATTTGGAGGTCTAATTGTATGTTTAAATTTTTTGAAGTTATTTAATGTTTAAGACTACTATTTTTGTTATTGTGGTTTTTTTAAAAACAATGTTAATTTTAACTCTTTTAAGAAAGTTTTTTAATAATAAATTAGAGATTGTCACCATCGGCAAGACTTTTCTGTACTCACTCGTTACGAGTGTTGTTTAATTTATTACACGAGGCAAGTTCTCTTTGCTACTTTGTATTATGAGAGTATCTTATTCAATTACTCTACTCTTATTTTCATGATATAGGATTTTAAGAGATTTAACATTTGCTTTTATAGTTAAAAACATCATTTAAAGAGTATTTTGAGGAAGATTTTTCATACCCTCTTTCATGTTTCAACAAGGGGGTCTATGAGTCTATCGATCTATAAATCCATTATAGCCATGGAAATGATTTCCGATTGATTCATTTAATTGTTGTTCTAACCTTTTATTAGATCCCGCATTAATATTTACCAAAGAAATAGCAATGTGCAAAGTACAATTCTAAACTCAAGTAAAAAGCATAGACACATATTGAAGAGTTAATTATTCCTAAAAATAAATATTGCCAATAACAATAATTATTACTCATTGTCCTTTTATCTTTTTCTTAAGCTTCTACACAATTTTTTGAATTTTAAGGTGCAATAATGTTTTGGATTTCAATTTCTCTCAATGACGGACTTCGTAATACATTTGATATGGTTCCAAATTCACTTCAAACATTGAGACTACTGAGAAATGAAGCCAAACTTTTTCTTTCTTATACAAAATCACTTAAAAACTTTTAAGTACATTAACAAGTGAAAAAGGCTAAAACGTCAAGTATAAAAATAGAGGAAGTACTATAGTTGTTAGTTCAAAATCAGTGCAACCATTCACTATGAAAGAATAAGGGTGCTTCATTCACATTCTCACACTTAATACTATGATGCTTGTTGTGACAGTTATACATGTTAGTCATTGTTTACTCTTGGTATTATAATTTACATACATCAAAGTATAAAGGAATGTCAAGTATGCCTATTTTACTTGCGTTAAATTGTTCTACATCCTCAGTTGATGTAATTGACTTAAAGCAGCACGTAATTGTTTGGTGTATCACATTGATCAGTCTTCCTCAAAGAAGGTTCAAGTATTTACCAGACTCGCTCTTTATGATGCTGTGTATGTGCCACTCTTGTTCATCTTCTATATGTAATTGGCCTGGACTATTTTCTTTGCCAAGTATTTTCCTAAGAAATCATATCCATGACAATAGAGAGCTTCAATCTCTGCTCTTTGGCCATGTTGAACCATTAGGGATAACTCCTCCTGATAATCATCCTGCAGTAGACGGAATTGTGCTCAATTTAGGCTGAAAAAACTTCTAGGTAAGTTTATGTCCAAAGTAATTTTCACAAGATCTAGTGCTGAACATGATGAGCTTCTATTGACTACCGGAAGTATCTCCAAAGATGTGAGGCTTTTTGCAATTTGTTTGTCCTTCGGCTTCAATGGGGTCATAGATTCTTCAGGTATCAGCTGCAGATCATCTCCTCTCACTCCTAACCATCTCACATTACAAGCTGAAACACAAAAACATGATAGGAGTCAAACCGCAGCTCGAGAAAGTAACATCTATGTGCTTGTACAATTATTAGCTGCAGTTACCATATTTATATGCCTCAAGTCCCATTCCAATGCTTCCATACTTGTAGGTGCACAGAATACTTAGTCCTGCCGGATTCCTTCACAGGTGGACGCTAGAAAGATCAATATATCAGCAACGCAAGGATAAAATAGAAAGAGAAAAAGAGATATGTACCAATCAACCAGTGCCAGAATAGGCAGATTTGGGAAAGCTTTGGTCATCTTATGAAGCAGAAACCTGCTTTGGAAGAGCAATGAGGGAGTTGATTATGAATCTTGCCTAGAATAAGCTGCAAGTTGGTTAACGTGTAGCATAGGAGCATACCTTGTGGCTAGATCTGGGTACCCTTTGGCTGTGATAAGTATGCTTGGGACTTGGTTAAAGAAGCAATCTTCAACCAATCGTTGGAATATGGCATGCTGAACAGATCAAAACAATTGTTGAAGAAATGCAACTAGCCTTCATTTGGTGGCTACTTCAATAGTTCAATCCAAAACGATGAAAATACCTTCTCTATCACAATTATGTATCGTGCATCTGTATTCATATTGAGAGATTCTAGCATGCTAAGATCGCCTGAGATAGGATGCCCTGATGACCCACAAACTGAACAGTCCACGACCTCTTTGTTTGGCTCCTATCCATCGTAGAAAACGCATGCAACAAGTCAGCAAGTTCTGTATAAATCTACTAAATGACCTGTGATTATAATACAAGTATGTAGATATTGTGGACAGAGGCAGCAATCTCTTCAAAGCTCTATAAATTTTCCTTCATATGTTAAATATGGAAACATTTGGAATATAGCTACATGGTCATTTTTGGAAAAGGAAGAAACCCACAACTCAGGCATTGCTATTGCACCATTGCTAATCAATATTGTCAACTTATGTTTCTGGGACACTTCACTGCAACTTAGAATATCAACATATGTAGACATTTGGAGTCTTGGACACTTCAATTTAACTATAATAATTGGGGTCAGACCATCATATCCGAACTTGAACCAAATCCTTGGCCCCGAGTTTGAATTTATTAATGTACTAGTATTTACCAGGAAAGAGAGAGAATTGGTACCTGAAGCAGTATCCGGCCAGCAATAAGCCCTCTTGTAGAAGCCATGATCCCAAGACTATACCGGCTGCAATGAAGCAATGCAACCACATCTGCAACATATATAGCAAACATTTACCCACCTTGTAGCAAGTGATTAGTCCAAATTTGCCACAGAAACAAGAAAGTTAAGATTCTTTTAGGCGCCCTTGGAAAAAATAAATGAGATGCCTCAAGTAACTAACTCTAGTGTCTAGTCCTCATAATCCAGAATATGAGTGATTTTAGCCACAGTATTAACATATTCCTACATTAAGAAATTGGTAACTGCATCAATATGGTAAAGTGGCCTTTCATATGTTTTTATACTTGATATTACCTGTAACATACATATATAGAACGACTAATATTTGTTTATAACCAACAAAATCAGCTAAAATGACATAATTTGAATATGAGGGAGTATATTTTATTCCATAATAAAATTTATGTATGCAATTTCTATTTTCATGAATGTCTCAACACAAATTGCTAGAAGGTTTTTCAATAAAAGAACACGAAAACTAAAACGAGAGCATAAATATTGACCTTGAACAGTCCTATTGACCTGTGTTTGGGAGCTAAAATATTCAGATGAAGTACAAAGCAACTTGTAGTAGAGTTCTCGTTGAGTTACTCTCTTTTCCTCCACCAATATCTGGTAACACATTTCCATCACCTTCCACACTGTACAATACATTGAAACCATCAAAAACTGAACAAAATAAAGAAATTTCTCATTGACATATTAACAAACACTTAGAAGGCAACAGATAGACCGACCTCGAACAAAGGCTTTTGTAGCATTTTCTCTCATCAATGATCGTTTCGAGAACGAGTGCGAGAGAAAAATGTGTGAATTATCACTCATTAATCCTCGATAAACATTCGTATTCTTCGAATTTCGACTTGTCTGCTCATTAACTCAAGATATTCCAACATTATTACAATAAAATTCAAAAATAAACGGTGAAATTTTGATATTGAAATTGATAGAGTAAGAAGATGAAGATGAAATCAAACCAAAGGAAGATCGGAGATTTCTGGATTTGGCGAGTTCAAGATCTTCAGGAAATTCAAGACTGCAACCTCGATTCGTGCTCGAACCTGTTGGAAATTCAGCCAGAATTTGTGAGTTCTTTAGAGAGAGAAGGAGAAGAATTCAGAGAGGAAGATGACCTGACAAGGAGAGAGAATGTCGGCATAGCAGAGTTGCTGATGAGAGAAGAGTTGAGAGGATTGGAAGAGCTCCAACATTGTGCGCTCTGAAAATGATCTTCTGGTGTTTGCTGGTAGTTGCTACAATGCTACACTTGCTCTTTTTAACAGTTTTTGGCGCCAAGGTTTTAAATTTAAGCCTATACAACATAAAATTTATTATTAACATAAAAAAAATATGATCAAAAGGTATTATTTTTTTTTTTAAGAAAAATATTCCCTCCGTTTTATAATGTTAGTCCCATATACTATTTTAGGCGTTTCAAAAAGATCTACCTATATTGAATATATTCCATTTTTAACTTAGTTTTTATTTCTTATTTTATACATATTAAATTTTGATTGGTTAAATTAATTGATTGTTGATTGATGACATAGCTCTAAGTAAGGAAATTCCTCCCTTAAATTATGCAGTTATGGTTGATGTTTTTCAAAAAAAAAAAAAAAAAAAAAAAAAAAAAAAAAAAAAATCAAAAAATTTAACTAAGACAAAATGAACTGTTTTTGTACATTAATGTTAGATTCCAAATATTCTTCTTTTCTAATTTTATTTAATTGATTCCAATGGGACTATCATATAAAAACTAGGGTGAAACTAATGTGGTTTAAAACCGAACCAAACCACAAACCAAACCGAATTAGAAATGTGGTGCGGTTTTAGGAATCCCAAAACTGAGTTAATATGATTTGGTTTCGGTTTCAAGATTGAAAAACCAAAAATCAAAATCCAAACTGAATTATGGCGCATATTCAAATTATAGCCTAGCTCTTCTACATCTAATGCAAGACTTTTCGGTGTTCGATTCGGGTCCGGAGTACTTTCTCCATATCCGGGTCTATCAAATCCCACAATATGTAGCCCCAAACTTTCGATCGTATACTACTATACTTCAAAAAAAATAGAAAAAAAATGATCATATTTCGACCGTTTCCTTCAAAAAAAATATTAATCATACTAAATGGATGTGTATGAAATCTAACTCATAATAGTGTGCACGAGAAAATTTGATTAAGCTGATTAATGTTTAATTAAATTAAAACATAAGGTAAAATATATGATCGTAATATTTATCGACTACTTTATATACAAGATTATAAGAAAATAAAAGTAGAAAACCAACTCATGCACACTACATATTCACGTAAATTTTGATTAAATTTTAGTTATCTCGTTTTTTTAATTTTTATTTGATGTAAGTGAACATAATGAGGCTAGTGCATTAAAAAAATGTGTCAAAAGATTACCTAAGAACAAACAAAAAGGAACAAAGAGGGTAAAACATACCGATGAAACTTCAGTGGCAATGAAAGCATGATGCCTACAAGAGTCAAAGCCATGAATAAAGATGAAATTGTGCTTAGCCTCGTCTTTTGGGACACCATACTCTTTGTAGGCCAAATGCATTCCATCCCTTAGCCTTATTCTCGGAGCCGTTATCGATGGACTGCCAGACGAACCACACAGTTTTGGTGGTGGTGGACGGAGTGCCCTATCAACCCAAGCCAAACTAGCAACAAGCACAAATAACACAAGAGTCTTCTTACTCATACCTGAAATATGATGAATATTTTCTTCAATGCTCATGCATAAATTAGATTGCTAATAAATTTACTACTTTTATTATAATGAATTGATGAAGTTACAAGAAAATTTATGTTTATTGATACTGGTTTGCTGGTTTACTGATTGGGCAATACAATCAGTTGGACATGTACACAAATACTTGTACATGCCAAGTTAAACCAAATTCAACAATGTGTCAACTTTAATATAAATGACACTTAATTTTTATATTATACACCCATGTATATGTACGTGATCATTATTCGGTTATTTGGTGGGTGTTTCAGTAATGTGCAGATGTTTCTACAGCGATCGTTTGAAATATAACTACCATATTATTTTAATGATAAACAATATGAGTGATCTGTTTTTTCACACTATAAATTGGACATAATTAGTATTCTAATATCTACAATACAAATATAATTTTTGAAAATTTTAATCCAACATAAAATAAATATATATATATATATCTTATTCTTATTTATCAAACTATAAAATAAGAATAATAAAAAAAATACATAAATGAAACTAAAAATTTGATAAATTAAAGAAATGTTGATAATAATATTTTATAGTATAAATAAAGTAATATAATTTATTACTTGGAGAAAAAATACGTTAATTTATAAACTATATAATCATTAAAAATTATGGTAATCATATTTCAAACGGCCATTACAGAATTTTCAGTACAGATACTAGACACGTGTGTAAAACAAATATTTTACAGTTGATTGATTCATATGATCGATGACAAACCTTGAGAAATTGGGGTACATGGTTTTGTTCTTGCTGTTGATGTTTGCCTACTACTCTTTTCTTCTCCTTCCATTCTCTCTTTCTCTTAATTCAGGTATTTTAGAAAAGAGTTTACTGAACAAGGTTGTATTTGCCCACTTTTATATAGACAATATAGTATGAAACTTAAGCTCCCAAATTATAAAAATCCGTCAAAGCGTGGAATAGTATTTTTATGTTTTTTATTTACTTTTTTGGTTTCTGAATATTCGAAGGTTGAATAGTAAGATAGATGCCTCAATTCAACTCAAGGCTCAATGCCGAACATTTAAAATGTACATGTAAGAGTACATCAATAACTAGGGAAAAAAAATTCACAAAGTTAAGCTTAGGCGGCCTTGTTTGATTGCCCTTTAATAATTGGGAAAATACAAAAATGAGAATTAATTTATCTCATCCAACCTTGTTCAATCAAACTTCCCACATTTATATTTAGATGAACTTACATTATGCTCTCAAAAATTTACTACGTAGAATATAATTGTAGTTGTAATAATACATGAAAATTACATTAAGTTAGCCAAATAAATATATAAAAATTGTTTTGTTGTAATAATTATACATAATCAATGCATTATATGAGCGAGGCAAGATAGAAATTTGGGTAGCTTAGGTATTTGATTCACCATATTCAAAAGTTGTGTGCATTGGAGTGGGCAAGTGGCATCGAACTTTTTTCTACACGGTCGTTTGAAATATGACTACTATATTAATGATAAATAATATAAGTGTTAGAGCTGCAGCGGAATTTGGTCTTCTAATAGTTATAAAATAATATTAATATAACACCTTTCACAAAATGCAAATTATAGGAATGAGACAAAATAACCAATATGAAGTAACAAAATATAACTTAAGAAATAAACTTCATATTAACTTTGAATAATGTGAATTACTGATGATTGATTTAAAAAACTAAACAACATAAGGAATATATATACACTGCCTCCATTTCTATTAAATAAATGAAAAAGAGAAAACCTTTCCTACGTTTTCTCTGCTTCTCTGATAACTTAAGAATCCTAACTTTTCTCTTTCTTCTCCTAAAAATACTCCTCACCTTTATTCCTACAATTCTCCACCTCATTCATAATTTGAGGATGAACAAAATTTTGAACGAACAAATTGTGGTTAGTATATCCGGTTGCACCATTTATAAAATGGCTGCCTACGTACCCCTGGCCGGGATCAAACCAATCGTAGTTCGATTGTTTATCCATGTAATACCTAACATGGGATGACCTTTAGCAATTCCAAGCAATGTTGGAACTTGCTTCCTGACACCACTTTGGTTAACATGTCTGCAGGGTTCTTATCTGTGTGCACTTTCATAAGAGAAATATCACCTTTCTCTACAACATCTCGAACAAAATGATATCTTACATCTATATGTTTTGTCCGAGCATGATACACTTGATTCTTTGCTAGATGAATAGCACTTTGGCTATCACAACTCAACTGTACACTATCTTGTCGTAAGCCCAGATCATCTAGAAGACCCCTCAGCCACAATGATTCCTTTACCCCTTCTGTCACGGCCATATACTCAGCCTCTGTAGTAGATAGAGCCACTGTAGCTTGTAACATTGATCGCCAACTAACTGGAGCACCAAATATCGTGAATGCATAACCAGTAGTAGATCGTCGTCTATCCAGATCACCAGCATAATCAGAATCAACAAACCGGCTAATTTGACAGTTATCTCCACCAAAGAATAATCCGGTATCAATGGTACCTTTTAAGTACCTAAGAATCCACTTCACAGCTTCCCAGTGTATCTTTCCAGGATTCGCCATGAATCTACTAACAACACCTACCGCTTGTGAAATATCAGGGCGTGTGCAAACCATTGCATACATTAAGTTGCCTACTGCACTAGCATAAGGTACATTATCCATGTAAGCCTTGTCTTCTGCTGTTGTGGGAGATTGTTTACTAGAAAGCCTAAAATGCGGAGCCAATGGAGTCACAACCGATTTGGCACTTTTCATACCAAACCTTTCAATAACTCGCTCAATGTATCCTTTCTGACTTAAGAACAATTTCCGGCTTGACCTATCTCTTCTAATCTCCATACCTAGTATTTTCTTTGCAGCACCCAAGTCTTTTGTTTCAAACTCTTTACCAAGTTGAAATTTTAATCTGTCTATCTCCACCTTGCTTTTCAAAGCAATAAGCATGTCATCCACATACAATAGAAGATAGATATAATCACCTCCATGAAGCTTACGAATGTATACACAACAATCATAATTACTTCTGGAAAAACCTTGCTTTAACATAAAGAAGTCAAATCGCCTGTACCACTGTCGAGGAGATTGTTTCAATCCATAAAGTGATTTCCTCAAGCGACAAACATGACTTTCTTTACCCTCAACCTTGAATCCCTCAGGTTGATACATGTAGATTTCCTCCTCCAAGTCACCATGCAAGAACGTTGTCTTCACATCTAATTGTTCTAACTTAAGATCACCATGAGCAACAAGACTTAAAAGCACCCGTATTGATGTGTGCTTTACGACTGGAGAAAATATTTCGTTATAATCTACACCTTCCTTTTGAGCATAACCCTTAGCCACTAACCTGGCTTTAAACCTTGTACAACTTGACTCGGTAGGGTCTTCTTTTCTTTTATAGACCCACTTACAACCTATAGTAGTCTTCCCTATAGGCAATAGGACCACCTCCCATGTCTTGTTCTTATGAAGAGATTTCATCTCTTCTTTCATGGCAACCAACCAATTCTCACTATCCTTATCCCTGATAGCT